GGTTGATTTGCAATTGAAGCAAGTCAAGTATAAAAAGGGTATATTATGGACAATAGCGAGGCACAAATATTTTGAAAGACATAAAGTGTCAAGGTGAGTGCAATACATGCATAAAATTATACATGGATGTTTCATACATCATAAGGAAGACTTGCGATAAGTCGACCTTGTTTATATCAGCATGATATTATGCCAGATTTTTATAAATTGACATGACATTAAAATGTCACGGTATGAAATCAAAATGCATTGATTATGAAAAATGTGATATTTTACCATGAATGTTTTTGGGTATGAACTGCCCAATGTTAAATATTGATAATATACTTTGCCATGGATGAATTGAATAAAATAGACTATATGCCCAAGTAAGTCATTGAGGGACATGGTATAGTTGGCATGCCATAGAGTATAGCAGCTACAGGTTTATATTAACACTATAGTGTGTAAGGACACTAAGTGCAGGTTTATGTCCGGATTAGCACTATAGCAAAAGCTTAGTGTAGGTGGTGGGCACGACCTTATGTGTATTGTCCGGATTAGCACTATGGCGTAAGCTTAGTGCAGGTTTAGCACTACGGTGCAGGTATTTTACTCGTATACCCAGGGTCCTCAGGGTGTTATATTGGGCTATTGTCTACGGTTTATTGACTATGGATTATGTTTTATTGGTTAATAATGGTAACCATGCAAATAAGCTTATGAGCTTACGGAATAATAGCAAGTATATTGGAAAAATAAGCTTACGAGCTTATGGAATTTAAATGGTAAGTATTTTGGTAAAATAAGCTTACGAGCTTATGGGATAAATGGTAAGAGATTTTATATTATTTTGATCATGGTAAAATATTGAATATGTTAGTAAAATGATTTTATGGAAATTTGATATTTGATATTGAAAATCATGCATGAATTGTATTGCACTGTTAACTGTTTTAATTGCCTCACTAAGTTTATACTTAGCGTGTGATGATTTTCACGCGTAGGTAAAAAGCCTGTAATGGAATAAAGAGTTCAAAGTGACATCAAGCATCGAGAGGTATATTTCAATATCAGTAAGACATCATACGATGTAATTTGATTTTAGATAGTGACATGTAATTTAAAAATATTCAATTTATTTGTTGAACAAATTTAGAATTAAAATGGTAATTTTAATGAGTTTTGTAAAATACTGAAATTACTGTAGCAGTTAATGTAGCGGTTACTGTAGTGTATCGATGCATTGTAGCAGTTACTGTAGCGTATCGATGCATAATATTAATTCGATGTTTTGATGCATCGGTGCATACACTGTTCACGTTACTGTAGTGCATCGATGCACTGTTCACTGTTCACGGATACTGTGCATTACTATTCATAAAAAATCTTTCGAATTAAATTGGGTACAACGAAGCGTAATTTTTATGATATGAAAATTTTATAATATCATTTACATTTTAAGAAAATAAATTTTAAATCGTTTTCGGATAAAAATGGTTTTAAGAAATTCGGGTGATATCCGTAATCTGTATAGGTATAAATATACGGGTTATGGGTGTTACAAGGGGTGTCCAAATTCAGGTATAGGATCTGATTTCTAAAATTTAGATATTTGAAATTTCAGATACTTAAAATAGTGATCCGTATTTGATCTTACAAAATTAAATATTCAAATTTTCAGATTCAATAAGCAGATCTGAATATAAAATTTAATTTGACAAAAAATATTTTTAAAATTACTGATTGATAATTTTTTGGGTGTGGATTAAGAGGTTTCAGTTTTGTTCTGTTGTATTTATGACACAATCAGATTATGGTGTTGTTTCATGCCCTAGTTAAGAGTACTCTTTTCCTTCTATTAGGTTTAGGGAGGTTTTTAACGAGACTTTTATTCTAGGTTTTAATAAAATAAATTCCATTTTATCAAGAAAATATTTTTTGACACCTCTACTATATTATATATATATATAATTATTCACACAATAATAATTAAATATCTCAATTTTTATTGGGCTAAAATTTTAATCGATTAGTGAGTTACTCATTTATTGGGCTAAAGTGTATCTAAAATTTAAAGACCATTTTTCGGATTTTCAGATAACCCAAAATTATAATTTTCAGATCTAATTAAGTGAAGGGTTTTTTGGATATTTGATCTAATATTATACAAAAATTAAATTGGATCAAATATTTGAATTTTCGAATCGAATCAATGGATTGAATCTTTTTGCACATCTCTAGCGGATATAATAAAATTTCAGGGTGAACATCATCGATAAAATAAATAACTAAATAAAAAAAATCGAATTTAAGGATACATATGTGTCTAACCCTGGACCCGGTTTAGATGCGCTAATGTTTTTAAAGTGTCGTTGATCGTAAACTTGATCGAACTTATGATAATAAATCAGCAGGATAAAGTTTTGCTCTGAATTTCTGCTAATATGATGGATCAGCTTTAATATTAATTCAGCAATCTTCAAGAATGATAAATTTTCAACAGTTGCTTCTACTTAAAATAAGGAATCTTTTATCCTAAACAGTGCCAAGTTGTACAGGACAAGTTGTCATTTGAGTTCAATATCTAGATCTAATAGCTACCCAATCAAAGCTTACATATTTTGCTTCATATTATTTTATTTTAGCATCAGATTTTACACTATCATACTAAAACATAAGCCTCACTGTACAAATTGTGAACCCACACTTTCTTTGAGGACTTTTATGCTACTCTTATGAAATCGAATAAGATAATAATAAAAAATTATAAATTAAGAACACATGATTTGCCTGAAAAATCCTAAATAGAAGAAAATAAATTTATTATAGTCAGAATTATATAAATTATAAATGTGTGCAAAAATGAATCTGGTCGAGTCGTCTTCGAATCTATCATAGACTTCATTGTTCTATCAAAATAATTTTTCATCGAGTGTATTGTATATCTAATTTTTCAGATCGAATCAAATGAAATTCATGTCCAGATGGAAGAAAAATGGCACTAAAATTCTTGTCTTTCTGTTACTTATTCTTCTCCTTTTATGGTACAGTTAAAAACCAAACATACCTACATGCAAAAAATAAAGTGTCTTTCTTTCTTTCTTGGGGTTTGATAAAACAGCAATACATCAATAGATTAAAGCTAAAATTAATTAATCTATATTGGAGGTTTCCTTTTTAAATGTTATGAGAGTTGACCTATCACATAATCATGTGCTTTGCACTGAAAAATCGTTTAAACAAAACATAAACTCCCCACATTCATGATACCCCCACATCCCTACCCCATGATGTTTTGTAAATGGCAAGAATTTTGGTTTTTTAGATCCCAGGGTGTTCCATTATTCTAATAATTACAGCATGATCAACGATGCCATCATTATTTGCAGGATGATCAAAGGAACGAGTGAAAGTAGTTCTCTTCTGAAAAATTTATATTAGTATATATTTTAAATATTTTCATTTATTTTCAATTGATAATATATTTCGCATTCTAAAATTTTAAAAATTCGCTCCTTAACATAAAATTCTGCACCCATCCCTCATTATTTGTAGGAATTATTTTCGAATTCGGACTTATAAATGATTATATCATGAAACTGAATTCGAACTTTCTTCAAATCAAAATCTATTACCTAAGCACTAACTAAGTTACCTGATCAGTAATTAAAGTGATGATTATTATTATTTGAAATCTCAAATTTAAACGTTTATTATCAAATGAGTTGAGAATCTTTCGAACAGATGCTATCTTATAATCACCTTTTAACTTAATAAAAAAATTTCATTACCTAAATTTAGTGAAGCAAACCTTCCACATTAGGAACATGCATGTACACCCCACAGTCCCATTTGAATTACATTAAAAAACTGCAATCTACCGCTTCTATTCAAGATTTTTCATAAAGGTTTCTGCAAAATAAAACACAGATGACGAAAGGGTTTCTTTTAAATGATGTAATGACAAGTTAAGAAGCAAGAAAGAGGTTTGGTTTGTTGAATGATAGGGGTGAAGAAGAAGTACTTGATGACAGTAAAGTCACATGGATAGCCTACAGAAGAGGAGCACAGTTAGATGCTTTCAATTGTCAGATAAAATATATATTTGTATATATCAATGTCCCCCTTCTACAACCAAAGCAATGCCATTTCCTAACACTCTACATCTGTTTTCTTTCTTTCCCATCTCCTTGGCTTCTTTCCCCTTGGAATGTGTGCTCAGAATCTTCCTCTATCTTCTTACCCCTCTTCATTTTCTATTAATTAAGCTCTTAAATGAAGCCAATCTATGACGGTAAACGAGTCTAGTAGAGTTCGAGTAATATTGAGTTCGATTCGATTAAAAAAATTTACGAGTTTAAGATTATCAAGTTCAACTTAAAATAAAAAATTGGAGTTAGAATCAAGTTGAAAGCTCGTGAGCTTAAAATTTTCAAGCTCGACTCGAAATAAAAAATTGAAATTCGACTCGAGCTCAAAAATTGGAACTCGAAATATTCTCAAACTTAGTTCAATTAAAAATCAAGCTCGAGCTCGAATCTAAACCTTAAATACATTAAAGCCTTGTATTGTGTGTGTGTTTTTTAAATAACATATAAATGTTAATATTATTAATAATTTAGTTTAAAAAATCTTAAAACTAAATATATTATTTTTTCAAGTTGCTTGTAAGTTTTTCGAGTCTAATCAAATAACTCGTTTCGACTTGTTAAGAATTCAAATCAATTTTGAGCTCGAGTTAAGTCTATTCGATTTAAAAATTGACTGAATTTTAACATAGTCATTATCTACCTTATCTCATTTAGCCCCATAAGCCAACCAATTGCATGCATATTAAAATATGGGGGGAAATGGTAGAGAATCCTTTTTTTTTTCTTTTTCATGGCCTACCATGACAGAGCTGGAAAACCACTCAGTAGCACATGTAGGCTAAATTATTCAAAATTTACTAAAGTTATGGGAAGAAAAAGAATGTATTATTCATGGACTACCAACTCTCCATATTGATTTTTCTGATATGTGGAAGCAAATATTTCCAATTCTATACACCAAATCTACAGCCAAAACAAGAGTTTGAAGTCGACATGGTAACAAAAAAAATATCTAGCTTTTCTTCGTCTTTAATCAACTTGCTAATCCAAAAGATGATGGAAATTCATGAGATGTTTTGTTGGAGAATTTGGTGTTTAGATTTCAATGGAAATTTTGGTGCTCGGACCATGGCCAAAACCCTTGCTGGTCATCGGCTCCATTGAACATATTGCAGAAGCTTTCCTCTTGAACCACTTGGTCGAGTTTTAGGCATTGAAGGTCTGGTCTTGATGAGCCTTGGAGAAGCTGATTCATGCTTGTTGGCCTTGGGAAAATCTGCTTACTGCTCATCAATGGCATTCTCGAGATACCCAAGTTGACGTCACAATTGTTATCGCTTCCAGTATGGCTCCATGAACCCTCGTTTTCTTTCTTGATGCTCATGATTTCATTCGAATCTTTGGTTCTCAAAGCCAACAACTACAGCAATAGTGTTTCCCAAACCAATAAAGTATAAATCAATTTAATGTGCAAATGGGAGAGAAAGATTAATAGAAAAACGGTAAAGTATACAAATGGTCCTTCAACTATAAGGCACTACTTTGTTGAGCCCCCAACTATTAAAAGTAATAAAATGATCCTCTAACTATATAGTGCTACTTTGTTGAGTCCCTGACTATTAAAAGTTACAAAATTGTCACATTCTTTTTCATATCTTCTAAATTCGTCTCTTTCTGTTAAAAAATTAGTTGTCGTTTGTCTGAGATTTAATAAAATCTGACTTCAGAACCGTTTGAGCTGTATATACCTAGTCAAAAGATTACTGTTTAGCTCAGACGACCGTCAAATATTTAGTGAAAAATGACAAGTTTGAAATATATAAATAGTCGAGTAAACATCATAATAAAGTAAATTAACAAAGTAAAGTTTTATAGTTACGATACAATTTACATACTTAAAAAAACTTATATTCCTAAGAGTTGCTGCTTTCTGACACTGACTACTTCATATACGTAATCAACCGATGATAGCAGTAGCAGAATCGTTAAAATAAAGCAATTCGATGACTCTTATGAACATTTTTAATGTTGGATCAATAACTTAATCAACATGTATAAGATGTTGTCAGTATTGAAAAATCAGAAAGATGAAAATCCTCATACAAAACCTAAGATGATTAAATTAAGCGGATTTATACTGGAAGTACCTCAGCATTAAGTTTCTTGTTTAGAGCTTGAAGGGCATCATTTTCAGCCTTGAGAGCTTCAAACTGTTTCTTCAAGGCACCATAATCTTTCTCCAGTTGCTTGGTTTTCCACCTAGCCCTCCTGTTTTGGAACCAAATGGCAATCTGTCTCGGTTGCAGCCCCAAGGCCTTGGCCAGCTGCACTTTCCTCTCGGGTTCAAGCTTGTTGCCCAACTCGAAACTCTTCTCCAGTGCCTTCACTTGTTCCAGATTCAGCCTCTTCTTCTTCTCCCCCATATGTGATCCATCATCAGACAATTCATCATCTCCTTCCTCCGACTTGTCCACACCCGAGAATGACACCGATCTCTTTATCATAAACGGTGCACCGCCACCGCCACCTATAGATCAAAACAAATAAAAAGCACCGGTCAATAAATAAAAAGAAAAGAATACTTGATATCGTTTAAATAAGGGTTAAATTTTAGTCTTTGAACATACATAAAAGTTTTATTGGGAGAGTAATTAAAAAAAGTATTTTTTTTAAAAAAAATTGGAAGAACAATAAAAAAAAGAGATAGAGAGAGGGAGATACTAACCATGGAAGAGCTGAGGAGGGCAAGAAGGGAGGAAATTGAGGGAAGTAGGGGAAGGGAGATGATCATTGTGGCGATCTCCATGGGGTTGGAACACGAAAGCATGAGGGGGAAAAGCCATGTCAAAGGATGAAGATTAAATGATTCATGAACTTGGGGGGAGAATGGATGATTATAAGGACTGAGCTCTCAAATGACTATATGGTGTGGATTGAGGAAGAAGACATGTTGATGGGGTTCAGAGACTGAATGACAGCGATTTTCGGTTGACAGTGAGAGAGAGAAACATGCACTCAGTAAACGAAATATGTGCATTTCTGTTTTTCTCTCTCTACACACATGGTTGTATATAGTACATACAAATTCCTCATTCATACAGTTTACAGTTCAAGCCTAGCTACCTCTTCAATTTAAATTCATATAGTAAATATGTTTGGATTTATATGGTAAAATAATACGTCAGGATTGTCACTTAGTTTCTAAATTATGTGGTTTGAGGTTTAATTTTTATTCATGAAGATGAAACATATTTCATGATTAATCAACAGGTGTTTTGTGACAAGGGATGGTAATGGGTGAGTTGGGTTGAGTTTTTGGTCAATTTGACTCGATATGAAAATATATATTTTTTATTTGATTTGACTCGACCTGAATTTTTAGAGTATAAATCTAACTTGATTCAATCAGATATAAAATAATGACTCGATTAAAAAAATAATAGAGATGAGATATTATAGTAATTATCCATAAATTTATTTGAAGAAATTATACTATTATACTCGTGTCGGTTCGAACCGGAGTTTTTTACCCTCCATCCGTACTTGACCCGTTCTTAACCCAATTTTTTTTAAAAAAATCGGTTTCAATCAAATCGAGTTAAGTCAAAATTCATCTATTTTGAATTAAATTATCATCCGTAGTTGTGACAAATTTCTCCTAGATCAGACTATAAAGCTACAATTGTGATATTGGTAAAAGTGTGAGGAATTGGGTTGATCTAGAAAGAAAATTAGTTAAAGGATTCTTGTGATGAAAATTTCCTTTGTTTTTTATCCCAATAAATAGAAAATATGGAATAGGATTTTGAGGTGAGAGACTTAACAATTATAACCAATCTTATATTCTTTTAAAATAGGGAATTTTCTTCTCTTTTACCTGCGATTTTTCATTTTTGAGTTTTTCATATTATTTATTTTTTCAATCATATTTATTTACCATTAATTATTTCGATAACTACAACAGGGTAGGCAAGTCGACGGTACCCGATTAAGGGAAATATTGTGACCTAGGCTCGATCTAGCGACTACCAAAAATAGCGGATTGGGTACCTGTCCCACAAATTTGGGTATTCTCATTTAAAATATCCAATAATTTTAAAACGGGTAAACGGGTCGAGTATTTTTGAACTTCCCTAATTACAGTTAAGGTGTAAATGAACCGAGTTTGAACAAATAAAATTGTGCTCGTGTTCGTTTATTTATTTTTAATGGTGTTAATGTATTGATTTGTGTTTATTTAAATTTTTAATATTGTGTTCATTTATTTATTCATTTATTTATTTTTGAAGGTGTTTATGTTTGTTTGCCTAATGTTCACAAACATGTTTATTTAATGTTCGTTTATATGTTCATGAATATGTACATTTGCAAGCTAAAAATGGTAAAATTATATCACTAGTGTTTAAACTACTTAAGTTTTAGTTTAAAGTCCAAAATTTATCATTTATTCGATTTAGTCCATACATTCAACAATATTTAAAATGTAAAAACAATAAACGAGCTACTAAATGATCTTATAAATGAGTCATTAAACAAACTTCTTCGTGAATATAACAAATCAAATATGCATATGTTCATGTTTATTCATTTATTAAATGAACATAAAAGGTTTGTTTATACTCGTTTATTTAACTTAACAAACAAACGTAAACGAACGTTATACGAACAATTTACCGAACGCTATATTCATTTACACCTCAAATTATTCTTATGATTGTGTATTCTGTGAGTAAAAATTATTATAAAAATATATTTAAAATAAAATAAAAAGAGAATATATAAGATTTCTAAAAAGGATAGAGGGATAAAATAAGGGGAAGGTGAGATAACTGAGTATACAAAGAGTGAAAACAAGGAAACAATTTTATTTAAATGAAAAAAATATAATTGGTGATATAACTTTATATATTATTTATTTTGTATTTTGATTTGTACGTAATTTTTGAAGTGTAAAATATACAAATAGTCCTCGAACTTTTAGGGGACTTGCATTTTGGTCAATTTGCAATACAATCATCAAACTTTTAGTTCATTTTCAATAAGGTCCTGAGGTTAACTCCCGTTAGATTTATTTGACGTGACACTTAACTCCCTTTAAACCCCTTCTTCTTCTTCTCTCACACATAAAAATAACTCTCGTTCAGTCATCATCATCGTTACAGGCGTCGCCTCCTGATAATAAAAAGTTCTTATTCTCTCTGTTATGCTACAAATTGACTGATATCGGAGTTGAAATTCCGGGGTTGGAATTCAAGAAATCTGAAGACATCCCTTTAGAAAACTCAACCGTAGAAGCAAGTTCATGCTCATGATAGTAAGGAAAATTAGGTTTCTATATTTTTGTAACCAAAATTTCTCTAATGTTATGAGAAATCCCACATGCAAAAGCAGCAGATGCATCTCTTATCTCCCCCAATCTAACATTAGGCCGCCTTTGTCTTTTGGAATTCATGCTTAAAACCAACATTTTACACCACGCCCTGATTTCTATCAAACCCTATCAGCACAAAATCAAACCTCAAAATCAACGTAATGATTAGAACCAAAATTTGCAGCAAACAAGCAAAACCCAAATCAAATTTCAACTTAAAAAAACATTAATTACTATAAAATGATGTAAAGAATCCTCACAACTACCATAGTTTACTGCATATTCAGTAAATTGAAAGTGAAGAAGTGAACCTGGTAAGTAAGTAACTATTGTTGAAGAAGTTCAATTGCTGGATTGCTGAAGTAGGAAACTCAAACATATTAAGAAAAGAAATGTGGAAGTGTTGGTTTTTATGAACATACAAAGCAAATCCAAAGCGCAAAACTTGGAGGAGGAGGAGGAGTAGTAGTTAAGTGCCACGTCAGATAAAACTGAGGGGAATTAACTTTAGTGACCTTATTGAAAATGAACTAAGAGTTCAATAACTGTATTACAAGTTTCAAAAGTTGAGTGACCAAAATGCAAGCACCCTAAAAGTTTGGGGACTATTTATATACTTTATTCTTTTTAAATTGTGTTGGTATTGTTTAGTTGGGTGATATCAAATTGAGTTACAATTATAAATTATTGGATATAATAATTATAATATTAAGTTTTTTAAATAATTTATTAATTTTGTAAAATATGATTATATAAGGAAAGGATTAGAAAAATCCAATTGAACAGTTCGAGAAAAATAAAAGGTACAAGATAACATCACTTAACAATGAATGATAAACAACTTCTGTAACAACACGAACATTAGAATTAAAGCATGGAGATTGACTCAAGAGTTATATGAACTAAAGTGAGTTGGTATGCTGAACCGTTAGGTCGAATGTGAGCTTAATTGGATGTAAATTGGGTCTGATTGAATATAAAAGGGAGATTTTTAACTTGAGGCAAAAGATGAAGGACCAAAAGAGAAATTATCCTATTATTAAAAAATAGGATGATTTCAGGGAATTTGTTATAGACATGGGGTGAAAAGATACATATCAAAAACTTTTATTTCTCTCTCTTTGTCTTTCCTCATCTTCTTCTTCTTTCTTTATTCTCTAAGTGTCATTGCTCAAGGCAAGTGCAAAAAGCTTATTTCATGCTCCCCTTAAGCTCTAAATTCATCCCTAAGGCTTGCTACAACATTGTTTTGGATTAAAAACCATTGTGTTTCTTTTTTGGTTAGATTAAAGAGTGAAAAGGCAACCTAAGGATTGAGGAGAGAAGAAGATCAATAATAGTTGCACAAAGGAACTTTATTACGAGATTCTTTCATCAAAATAATATATTTCTAATTTGTTGTGGTGTTATGACTTTCATAACATGATGCATTGTTGTGGATTTGAGTTTTGAAGCAAGTTGAGTGTTTAAAAATTAATTTAGGGTTAAAATAAAGTGTTTAAGAGGATTTTAGAGTTTATTTCGAACTTAGAAATAGATATTTCTAGGTTTAGGTATTGATACTTGATGAATAGTATCAATACTTATTCTTGCATTATCGTTATTATTCATAAAGTATCAATATTCCTTTCAATAGTATCAATATTGCTCACTTCAAAATATTTTCTTATATTGACATTGAGTGAGTAACGATACCCTCAGTACTTGTACTGCTTGTTGAGTATCCATACTCCCTAATTGAGTATTCATATTCCTTGTTGAGTATTCATGCTCTGTAGTTGAATGGTCATACTCCGCAGTTCAATATCTATACTCTCTAGCATCTAAATTTTAGAAATATCTCTCGTTACATCCAAATGGCTATGAATTGTTATGAAATGTACAAACATACTTGGAGAATGATCATAATTTATGAAATGTTCAAAATATCTTTAAGTGGTGTAAATGAAAAAAAAAATACCTTGGGGGTGGGTGGGTAAGAAACTAAAAAAGTACCCTTAAAGATACTTATATTGAAAGAGAGAGATAAATTGGTGATGCGTAATTTGTCTATCAAGTTGATAATGTGTATACCATTTCTTGAGTAGGATCATTAAAGTGGGAAAACAATAAGAAAGAAATACAAACAAAAGTTCATTGTGAAATGAAAACTCGTACGTTGAATATCGTAATATGTGAACAATATATTAGAGGAATCACGTATCATGTGAACATCATATAAGTGATGATGTGTGAGTTAAACCCAAACCTTGTAGAATATTGTAGGAAAAGTAAGAATAAATGCGGGTAGCGGTTCATTGATTAATGTATGGCCTACACCAATTGGACAATGCTCTAAATGAAGTTATATTATATGAGTAGAGATAATGCTTAATAAATTAAATATCATAAACATTAAAAAAATAATTTTACCGGCATAACATTCTAGATGAGAGAACATTGAAAGAATGTAATTCCGTGCCATTCTCATTACCATAGGGGTTCAATATATACACAGTCATTAGTAGATACAATCCTAACAATTAGGCTATAATTTAGGAATTAGGCTATAATTTAGGCAACTAAATATACAATAGTAAATATAAAATATTTGGAGAATATTTTGTAGTCTATCACTCCCCCGCAGTCGAAACAGGAGGATCTCGAACGTT